TGCGCAATGTAGTCTGGCAGAAATTGACCGACGTTTCAAAGGTGCTTACTGCCTTCCTCAGGGCGATCTTGGGGCAGTAAACTGGAAAAATCTCTGAAACGTCGGTCAAATTCTACCAGAATACAAAGGGCAAAATCCCAAAAGACAGAATTTTTATAATAAAAGTCTCTATTCAATCCTTGTCTGCTCAATTCTAATCACATATAAACACGTTCTAGGCTAAAGACCATGTTATGCTCTTCTAGCAATGCTAGGTGACCTACAGGTGAGGTTTCCCATTATGCGAGAACCAAAATTGATCACTTCAATCTTTATAGATACCAATTTTCGAATTGAACAAAAATTTTCAGAAATTATCATTCTTTTTCTTCATAGTGAAGTTTACTTGTCTGTGAGTGTTGTTTCCAGATAATTAAATTTTGAGACATTCTCGAATTACTTATCTTATTGTGACGTACTTACTGAGTTTGGTTTTATGTCACGTTCAAAAAAGTTTTCACCTGCGTCTACTTATAAAACAATATCTTTATTGACCGGTAGTATCAATTCTGGGTTGTCTTCATAAAGTTCGTAATCTCAGAAAATGATAGACATTTATTAGTATTGCTTTCTTTAATCGCTTGCGTTTGCCGTAAGATGATTGTTTTTGTATACACTAAACTTGATAATAATAGAATTCTATAAATTTATGTGACCTAATTTCAAGGTAAATCTAATATTATAGATTGAAAGCGTTTGATACATCTAATTAATTTATGAAGTTTATCTGCTACATCTTATCTTAAATGTGAGCACGAGAATAAATAACATTATCTATTCTGAAGGGTTCTGACTGTGGTGTAATATCTAGATTATTTGGTTTTTGGACTCTGTTGGTCATCTGACGTTTTAAATTATACATCATTTCTAGGACTAGATCTGTCCTTGTGTTCGGGCATGGTGAAGGGGCCACCTACTCTATGGGGTCTTTTAGATTCAGCTAATTTCAATCACTGGAGAAATAGTCCTCGAAACTTATAATTTTTAACATCAGACGATGGACGGAGTACAAAAATCCAACTATTCAGATTATATTATGCTTAATTTGATCGAAGCTTTCGATAAGATCAACTGATCAGGGACTATTTTCAATACCTCTGCGTTTTTTGTATTATTATAATACAATACTTTATAATCAGAAGTTAATCTTATCACCGTAACATTAATCAAAAAGTATTTAAATTCGGTAGTAGGTGTCTGACCTGGATTCGAAAGAAGTCTGGTTCATATCTCGATTGGGGTACATCCCTTGACTAAGTTTCTCCCTGTTTGTTGTTGGTACTTTAGATCATATAAAGTAATTAACAATTCTAATGACTTACATACAAGAACAAAACGTAAATAAGTCGTAATTCCACACATTTCTCATTCACTAAAACAGCCCATACCACACAGCACAATAAAATAAAACCAACCAGCTAATCAAAAGATAAATTTGATTTTGAAACAAATTTGTTCAATTTCACCCCCTTTTCCAGTTTTTGAAACCTACTCATCCTGTGATTGATTAATCTATTCCTGGGTTATTTAATGACACTTTAATAACTGCTTAGGTTATGTAGCATCAAATCGTATCATTTTGAAAAATAAGTAGAAATAAGCACCGCGTTACAATTACTCATATCAGAGTACTGTTGATGGCTGTCTTCTAGATTGTTGCGCCATGTAGTCTAGTAAAAGTTTACCGACGTTTCGGAGGTCATTGCTGCCTCCACCGTCAGGGCGCAACAACCCTGAAGACAGCCATCTTCAAACTTACCGCCGTGAAACCTCAAATCCTACGGAGTACTGTTGCATAATGCATTGTTTTCCCCTAATTTAATCAAAATGGCCAATCCGTTATTCATAAATACCAGCAAGTTTATTTCCAGAGAAATATGATTTCTATTCGATAACCATTACTTCGTAAAATTTCAACACTCATCCATCACCACCCCTGCTGTGAACATGAAGATGGATATTCCATTGTGTTCCCATTATCATATATATTTCTAATGCATCTTTCAATAGCTTTCACACGCTTACAGCACAGCACTTCATTATTTTATGCGATTAATCGAAATATCATATCGGTACCGAAAGATAATTACCTCGCGATAAAAGTAGTACTATTTTTCTGATATCTGTTCAGGCTAGAGGTATCTTATAAGATACAGTCCGCGTTATACTCCTGCAGTTGATCGCTGACAGGATTAGAAAATGTCGCGAGTAATCATTGCTCTTTGGCTATTATTTCTGACGAATTTGGTTTATTCTATTCCTCCACCATATAGTAAATTTACAGAAGATGAAATTATAAGCATCTTGGAAGATTATGAGATATCAGCCTCAGAAAAGTGCAGAGAGTACAACTTGGCATCCTGGAATTATATGACGGACTTAGAAAATATCACCAACGTTGAAGCACTTGTAAGTATACGTTGAATATATTAATAATGCCATGTTCTAATATTTATCTCACTCTATGTAGACAAAATGGTATAAGGGTTCAATGAACAATTATTATGAAAATAAAATCTTTCATTCAGATGTCTTAATCTTTCTAAAAAAAAGGTTTCGACTTGAGCCAAGGCCCTCAGTTGTCAGACTTCAGAAAAATAATGAGACAGAAAGATTTTAGATTAGGCAATTATTCTGAATGTTGGGATCGTTATTTAAGTGTATGAATTACAGTTAAGTTTAAAGGAGAAGATAAGTTCATGTGACTAACTGCATTTTCCTGAACACAATATACCATGTCACAAACGGGGTTTGATCCAGATGAGACTTACCTTCTTACTTAGTGAGCTCTTTCTTTTTGATGTATGAGAACCTCAAGTCTTACATGTATTGTATAACTTGGCGATAGTGCCTGCCCAAGAATGTCCTTGTTCATCAAGACTAAACACTACGCAATGGTTAAGCCCAAACCGCAGAAAAAGTTGAAATGACCCAACACTTCGGCCAGTAAAACCTTGGAAAGGAACCGCATCCAGGAAAAATGATGATAATTTCAGAGAATTTAAGATATAATTTTAGAGATATAATGAATTATTCTTGGGCTACCAGCCGTGTCGAGCGGTTGAGAGGTGAAATAACGTTTCGATAACCATCTCCGTCCTCGTCCTCAGCTTCAGAAATACTCCTACCTCCATCATCAGGGCGATGATGGAGGTAGAACTTATCGTTCGTGCGTTGTATTCTGTATCGGACCCTTATCACAGTGACCTTGTGTACGATGTGATATTTGTTATTCTCATTCCCACTGCTAACCGCCTTTATAGTTAGTCAGATGTTATCTATTTCTAACATTTGCTGGGTACAGAATATTTAAACAAAATTTTATGCAGGCGCAAATAATCACAGACGCCACACGCGTTTATCGTCTTCCACAAACACACGCACTTAATGAGAAGCTACGGATTGTGTTCTATTCCAGGAACGGTTCCTTTAAAATTGATTTTTGATGCTTGTGTTTTTGTTTGTTCGTCCATCTCTCTGTGTAAGTTTGCTAATTTCAGTGACAAGGGACAGGACACATTATCGTATAAAAAACTGGCATGAGTTACTTAGGAGAATATCCGTCACTCTGGTTTTACATTCAGAAATTTAAACTGAAATTATCCGAAATTTTTTTTATAGTAACTGATATTTCCTTGATTAATTCAAGAAGTAGAAGGATCAAAGTATCCGGGACAACCGAATAATCAGCACTGATAAATTTACGAGAAACGGGCTTTAATAGTGGGAAGAGAACGAGTGAGAATGTTCAAACACTCGACCGACAGAAAACATTTTCTTTTGATGGAGAGTAAACATGTAGACAGCTAAACCAAATGCATTTAAAACGAAAGCGATTACGTAGAAAAATAATACAAGGCTATGTCCAAATTCTGTGTAATTATGTCGCCATATCTTATAATAAAACTGCATTTAACTTGTTATTTACCTTCGAAAAAAAGCTTTTCAATGACATCAGGTCAATTTGTAATGTGTCATATAGAAGTAATGAAGGTATAAAATAAATTACTTCCTTGTTGAAGATATCTCACCGTAGTGCATATGCACTGTTTTATTCTGAAGCATTTCTCAAATTCAAGGACAGTTCTTAAAAACATCCAGTATTCCGCAAAAATTACAAACTATATTAACAAACTAACTGCATAGGGAACAGTCCTTCTTGAGTAGCTTACTGTCGTTCCGCTATTCAAGAAATGTCGCGCCTTTTTGTGGCCCGAACTCTTAAAAGTAATTTCCAACAATCCGGTTCCTGGTGACCATTCTGAGCTACATGACCTCAGTTCATACGATCATAATTGTATTTATGTATTTTTTTATTCTGCAAACATTCGTGTAAACTGATTGTGATTTCTAATCAATGTAAGTAATGTTTGATGAATAAGTTATAAGTAATTCAAGGCTAAAATTCATTAATGAATTTTCACGAAAGTAAATTATTTACAGATTATCAATTTTACGAGTAATTTTATAAATACCAGTAATGAATACTTTTCGTGTTAAAATAAGTAGATTACAAGGCAATTTGTAACATTTAGTGTGAAATATAATTAACTTTCCTTTACATTTTGGATAGTTTGTAAATTAAATGACAATACAAAATAATATTTTTCTGCAGGAATACATTTTATTTCCTATCGAGACAGGATCACTGCATGATTTGAGACAGAAGTAATACTTCGTTATAACTTTACCGAGTAGAATACTGACATTTCATCTACGGTTTAGTTAATGACTTCTGTTTCTATCTCTCTCTCTCTTTTTTCCCTCCTTGACCATCAAGAGCGTTTCTCGCATTTATCTTAATCCCAACGGTAAGCTCTAGTGTCTATCGATTTTCCTTCTGAGTTTCTCTCCTGCAACACATCGAGTTTAAAACATCGTTTCGGTATGTTCGTTCAACTACGGTCGAGTCTGATACACGTGACGCCCAGGTATTTCCTTGGGGAGAGCAGTAAGCATAGTTGCTCTTATAGGATACAGTTCACTGTGAAAACTTTCAGTTCCCTTTTGCCAGGGCAAGCGAGAGGTGTAACAATGTTGCGGACAGAAAGTGTTTTGTTTCTCTTGTTGGTAGACGTGTTGTTTTGTGTACCTCAACATTTCAGTACGGTGGAAGATAAATTATCAGCGTATTTGGCAACAGAATACGAGACAATGGTTTCCGAAGCGTGCAGGAAATATAGTCTAGCGTCCTGGAATTATCAGACTGATGTTGAGAATAAAACAAAAGTTCAAGAACTTGTAAGTAAAATGATTGTCACTACATTTTGGAAAAGTAATGCATGGTTTGGGATGTGAGTTTCCGTTTTATTTTACCAATTTTAAATATTATAACATTATGCGATTTTGTTAAAAATGTATCTGAAAGCGATTCAATATACAAGACCTAAACATCATAGTTTTGAAAGTAAAACCAATATGAATGCTTCCATTGGATATTTATTGTAATAAGAAATGTGGGCTTAATTTAGCTATATAGTACATTAAATCCGACGGATAAAATTACAGTGTGTGAATATGCATACTGATTATTAAAATGTACGTATTTATTTTTAATATTTGCGTTTCCAAATTCATTATTTGTTTAGTTCTGATGGAAAGCTCATAACCTGCTACGTCTTTTCCAAATCTTGTTGAATCTGTATTACATATTCAATAGCCCTACACAGATATATGTAGGTTTTCTATACGCCAATGCTTATTATTTTACTACATCACTTTCACTATTTCAATTAACCAATTACATGCCAATAAGACCGATATACCTGCAAAATAACACGATTCTAGCCAGTTCTATGCATCTCCCATACACACAACCTATTTCCCAAGATCCATCTTAATATTTCCTTCCTATCTTATTCTTTGTTTTCCAAATGGTCTTTTTCCCCGATGTTTTCCCTCAAAAAGGTTGGACGTATAATTTCTTCGCCCAGCCTAGCTACATGCGTAGAAAAACGTAACCTCCACGACTTCACTATCTTAACAACGTTATGCGATCTGTATAAATGTATCCTAAGCCGCTCAATTACTGCTTCCTAAAATCATTCATATAAACGTTTGGTTTAAAGACACGTATGTACTTTCCATGTTCCAGTTTCTGTCATACTGAAAGCTTTAGAAGTTGGCAGATGTTACGCAGTATTGTACTAGTCTTCAAAGATGAAGTCAATTTTAAATTTTGATCCATCAGCTTTCAGTAAAGTGTAAGACTTGAGTAACCCAGAAGACAGAAATCTTCTTTCAGTAAAGTGTTTACTGTTAATTAAGTATCGTTATGAACTACATGGAAAATACGTAAATTAAGCTTAAAGAAGTCAGAAATTTACTACATATTTATATAATAATAAGCAAAATAAAGCCACTTACGTTGCGTTTTTAAGATTATTTTAATTTATTAGGCGAAAATTTAAATACCATACAGAAAAACCATAAAACGTTATTATACGTTAGTAAGAAGGTTTGTGTAGAGGTGAACGCCGGGAAATATATGTTCATAAAACATTACCGGAATGAAGGATAAAATCATTATATAGATAATGATAGCTAATCAGTTATTTTCATATGTGGCAATAATGAAATATTTTGGAACGACGATAAATTAAAAATTATGTTCACTAAAAATTAAGAACAGATTAATTACGGAGAATTACACTTAGAATTTGGTCCTACACATTTCCCACTTCCTATATAAAAATTTACCAGACGGGTAGATTACAAATTGATGGAGCTGGAGTGCGGAATCCGGACGTAAGAGAGAAGTAACAGGAAAATGGATAAAATGCATTAAGAAAACCTTAATAATTTGTAATCTTCACCAAATATTAACAGAGTAGTTGCAACTAATTCAGTTCAGGAAAGGTTGTTATATAACCAAATTAGAAATGAATCCAAATCCCTACCTACAACATTTAATATCGCCTACCCATTTCATTTGTCGCTATTTAGAGTCTGAACAGGAAACAGCAACTTTAATTAACCTAAGATTAGATTAGCGATCATAGGAGGAGAAAATGTGAGACGAATTGCAGAAGCAGATTTCTGAAGGGAAGCTACTGGAAGCTGTTGCTAGGAAACCGGCTTCGGGGGGATTGAATCTTGGACTGGGGAATGTTGGGCACAGAAAAACCACAGCTAATGCTGAAAATAACTGCATTTGAACGAGGAAAAACCGCTGAAAACAGAACCAGTTAGCTCAAGCTTGTGTAACTTTCACATGAAGTACTTGTTGTTGTTGTAACAAAGGTGCTAGCAGTAGGTACAGACTTTCTCTCGACGTGCCAAAGTTCCAACTCTCGGTTTCAATTCGCTGTAACTGGGAACCAGCCTGACTTTGAGTTACTTACGTTGGAATACAAGGCTGTCCAAACGGTGGGACTGCTAAACGATCCTGAGGATTCGGTTTGGTTCTGTTTAAATTAAACAACGCGGAATTGATAAAATTTTGGTAATCCCTCGCTTCTTCTGTGTTATAATTCCGATATATTCACCACTAGTTATCTACAGTAAGGTTCATTTATGCTCCCTTCTCTGTATGTTAGTATATATGATCCGATTATCCTTATTGTGTTATTTCTTGAATTTATGAACATAAGTCTTTGACCTATATAAAATCCTTTTATCACTTCAGTCCCTCCGTCTTAACTTTGGTTAACGTGCGACCACAACTGTTTTCTTCCGCTGTTTCGTTCCGTAGCAGACGTTTAATGCATGAAGTTATCGATATGCGGCGCTGCTGCAGCAGCAAATAATAGAAAATTGATAAACGGAAACAAGTCTGTATATTACCAGCAGAATTATTTGTTGTAAACACCGGGATATAAGTTATATCCCATTCCCGAAAAAGTAACAACTCCTTACTCTAAATAGTATGAACGCAACGAGCAGTAAAATAAAATAGTTCAGGCGTTCGCAAACTGCAAACCGAAATTGTGCTTACATTCACTTACTCATGATTTCCATTGCCTTACAGATTAGATGCAACATTGTAGGGTAAGAGTTCTGAGGCAAATCTCTATTGATATTCTGCGCATGCGCGGTGAATATTTTTAATCTTATTTCTACGTATCTGTAAATCTGTTGTTGGTGTATTGTTCGTTAGTGTCGTTGTCGTTTAGAGTTCTGTGGATTGTTCAAAACATTTCGGAAGTTGGCAAGAATGGTGCTGATTCTGCACCATCTCCCGTTCTTCAGGCTACTTCTGTTAATTTCTCTCGCACCATTTGAGTCAAATGGTATGTATAAAACATGGAAATGTTTTGACTTTTGGAGGACTATTACAAAGAAACATCGACAAAAGTTGAAAATTATATGAAGGAAGCAAATGCATCTGATCCTTGTTTGTCAGACACAGAGACACGCCCTTGAGGGTGTCTCGAAGTCAATATGCGATATCTGCAAGTGTGTTGGGGAGAGGGGAGTCGTTGCTATACTTTCACGTCTGAATATATTGAATTTCGTTCTTCGACAAACCTAATCAACTCTATGGCCTAGGCGAACTAAACCAATTTCAAATTTCTAATACTGTTGGTACACGTCTAACGAAATCATACACAAAGATAATTCAATTTAAAAACTTGAACAGAAATTTGTTGCTGTACTTAGATCAGAACCTGTTATTTCGAACGTAGATGTGTACGTAGACTGCAGTGAACAGACAGACTCCACGGAGCACAGTCCTGGTTGTTAAGCTGATAGTAGTTCAAATAGCAAAGAAATTAACCCACCTTTTATGAAACCCGGAAGTTCATTACTGTGCGTACAATATTCCGCTACTGAAACGCTGTCTTAAGCCAGATGAATCCTGTACATAATTTCACACTAAATTTTTTTGAAAAATTTCTATGAGGAATTGTTCATATGGAAGAATTGGGTGCTGTATCATATGCAGAAGACACAGAGGAAGCTGATATAGTGATGATGAAGAAGAAGACAGTACGAATTATTCAAGGAACTACAGACAACTTTTGCTGAAGGTTGTCGGTAGTAAATAATATCCCCTAGGAATTTTGGGCCTGTAGCCAGGTAACAGGGTTGCCATCCCACTGAAATCCAAAGCTACAGGTATTTTCTTTCCTTGACCTGTCCAGCCTGGAAGGCCTACCAGTAGCTAAAAATCGATGGCAACAGCTGTATGGTCCACAGTGCACGCATTGGATGTCATGACGTTTCGAGACTTTACTCTGCTTCAGTGTTTAGGTGATTGTTATTTTATTAACACATTTTTGTATTACTTACAGCGATCGGGATAGAATCCGAGACCTTTCGAATACCTGGTATTCCCTGGTTAGATTCGGATCGTTATCACTAGGGTTCGGATGTTCATGACCTAAAAAACCGAGAAATATGCATGCAAATATGCCCCCAAAAATATCGAAATATGATCCAAAAAAGGCAAAATATGACCTAATTTGTTATTAAAAAATATTCTCTAAAATTTAAAAAAAGCGTTTTGTATTTCAATCATGTTATTTATTTACATATGCATGTACAACTATTACATTACTTGATTTCCTAGCAATTTTAATCAAAAACTTCAGTCGCCTTAAGTTTTAAATGCCTCGTTTTGGATCAGCATCAGATGTTGAGTATACGTGCTCCTATAAAAATAAGATAAATCTTAAGAAAGAGCATTTAATCCATTCCAAATTCATTAATTACAAGTAAATAAATAAACAAAATTCAAAATATGAAGTACCTTTCTTCATTCTCCTTTCTTGGAAGCATTACAATATATAACGATTTGCATTTTCAAGGTCTCAAATGAAAATCTCCTTAGATTGTCGCACAATATGGTCTTGTAACTTGAGACATCAGAAACGTTTCATGGCGTTATCGAAAATTACAGCGATAGAGGAGTGGTTTACTGTATCAAGATGGAATAAGTCACAAGGATGGTCAGCAAAGACAGTGCCAATAACGAAATTCGCTACATACCTGCCGCAGACATCCGTTGTTTCATCAATTGAAACACAAATCTTATTCTCGCCCACAGTACAAGTAATTCTTTTCAGAACATCTTCATAACAGGCGGGTACACAGTTTTTTCGTAGTGTTGATTCGTCTGGAATTAACTGAGTCATGTATTTCTCCAAGAAAAATTTGAACTGCTCATTGTTCACTTTGTTCAGTTGGCAGACGCCATCATTTCACACAGGTCCTTTGAAAATTCCGATGTCCTGTTTGATGGTGAAGTTGCTGCAGTGTTATCGAACAGAAGTCATTGCTCGCTTTGACGACTGGTTTGTCGGCTCAAATTATTTTTATGTTTTGCCGTATCACAATGTTGTTGTTCATTAAATCGCTTACCAACTGTAACTTTAACTTCACAAAGTTTACAGAACAGAATTGTTCAATCAGAACTAAAATATTCCTCGCTAAAATCTTTAACTAAACCTCTTAACTTCGCATTATCAGAACACTTCACTTTCGACATCTTAACTAACTGAGGGATTCACTGAAAATGTCTGAGAAATGTAGTTACAAGTAAGAATTTTATACCCAAAATATAACCAAAATATTAATTTTATCCTCAAAATAAAACCAAAATATGCATTTAACTACAAATATGACCAAACACATAAAAATGACCTAAATATGCATTTATATGCAAAACTGATACAGCATAATTGTGATTAGGATAACCCAGTTAGTGTTTAATTTCAGTTTAGAATGAAAATAGAAGCCCCAATAAAATATGACATGTCATGAACATCCGAACCCTAGTTATCACTAATACAAAAATAGATGCTAACATTTCGGTAAACGTGATATGCAAATCATTTATACGATTGCTTACATATACATAAGTAAGTCTCATTCACTTTAATTTATTCCACGGACCACTTGACTTAATGACTTAAATATA